ACCTCAGCTACCCACCCACACGTAAAGTTTTTCTTAAATCCCTGTAGATCTAACCATTGCTGGGGAAGGCGTATGCCATAGGTCGCCCATTTCGTTTGACCCATTTCTGAAAGGCGCTGGTACGCAGGTACCGAAGGTTATTTACACTTAGCTCAAACTGGCGCTGGATAATGATGAAAGGTGGTGCAGCCTACCTTGTGGTCAAAATTTGCTTGTCACATCCTGCTGTTAGCTTAACTTGCTCTCACCCAGACCTTTGTGACGCCCAGCATAAGGAATGAGGAGTCTTTTGAGCATGTGTAAGTGTGTTTGATTCCTCTGACTACTGCCACTGCGCCATTTTCATACTGTCATTGTCTGTGTTTGGTACTGAGCACCTGTGCCTCTTTCCTCCTGGAGCAGTAGTTTCCAAGGCCAGCGATGCTGACACATGGCTGAAGGACTTCTGTTGCTAAAGCTTGTGGGAGCTGCCCTGAATGGAGTGGCGCCGAGGCTGCCTGACAGTCAGGCCTTCACACTCTTCAGCGCAGGCTCTTGCGCAGCGTCTAAAGTATGTGGGTCAGATCTATTGTTAGACACTTTCTTTTCCTCTCCTGGGCAATGGTGGCATCCCTGAAAGACTCTCCAGCTTGGAACTGCCAGTGCTTGCCCCTTAGGCTGGGGATGCCTGAGCTGAGTTGGTCCAGCAGGACGCTCCGGCATAGGTGACTCATGCCACGGGCAGCTGGGACTCATCTCATTCTCAGATGCTCTAGCAGGACCTGTGCTTGACATGATTGCATTTGCTGAAAGTAGAGATCTCAAATAAAGTAATTGTCTTCATCTTTTCTTCCTTTTACATGCAACTAATGGAGGAACCGCTCCACAAGCAGCTACGGGTGAAACTGCTGAAATCAGTGCACGTCCACACAACACCCCTGTGCATCTGCATCTGCAGGGGGTTGGCAGAGATGCCCACTAGAGAGGGTGGCTCTCAAGAGGTCCCTTAATACAAGAAACACACTATTGTAATGCAGCTTTTCCCTCATTCCTCAAAGGTGTTACAGCCTCAGGGTTTTTCACAGGCTTTGCAGCGAGCGGTATTTCATCTGTCCCCACTGGATTAAAATATACGCCTTGACTAACAAGTGGCTGTGCGCTGCGAGAGTTATTTTTGCAAAGCAATAATGGGCAGCGCTACTCGGGAAGGGGGGGGGATGCTATAAAGCGCAGGCAGGAGAAGCTCAGACAGCCCATGCATAGTAATCTCCTCGCTCTTCACGGCTCCTTGAGGAAAATCGTGCCAGCATGCCCAAGGAAGGCAAGCCTCCCCTTAGCAAGTGTGAGCTGCAACCGGCTCAAGGGTTAGCAGTGACGGAGGAAATTAAACGGGTGCGCAAAAGAACAGAGTGGCACTGTGTTATTGCTATGCCTAATAAAAAAAATTGCTGCAGGTTTTCATAGTTAAACTGTTTTTCTCTGACCTGTGGTGAGCTGCTTATTCCGACTAAGCTGCTTTTAGCTCTCAGATGTGAAAGAGATATGTGAGTAAAGCCTCGCTCGCCCTCTAATCAATGCAGAATTAAAGAAAGAGCCACTTAGCATAATCTTACCATCCTCAGGAATAACGATGGCTGGGAGGGCTTTGTTAGCCAAGGAGGGGGTTAGGGGGAGCACATGTGTGTGCGACAGACTTGATTACTACAGCTTAGTGGAAGCCATTAAAACCACACATTGCAATACACTACACTTGCTAGTTGCTTAGGCAGTTTTTCAGAATGTCCAGCTCAGTTTCCAAGCCATCACCTTTTTTTTGGTCACTGCACGTTTGTGACTTTTAGGGTCTATCAGCAGCAGTGTTCCCCCCCGCCTCCCAACTAGAACTGCCTCCACTTCGGTTCAAAATGTCTATGGCAATTTCTGGCTTTGTCAACTGTTTCCTAGGTTCCTTAACTATCTTTACCTTAGTGTTTGGCAGTCTCCTCCTCCTCCTCCCCTCACCTTTATTTTTCTTTGGTAAGTGGGGTGTCTACAGTCTCTTCCAGACCTCTGCAAGCTCCTACTCCTCTAGGACCGCGACCGAGGACTTGCGTGGAGGACGCACCTCTGGCTACCGCATAACTTCAATTACGTCAGGCGCCACGTGATAATGGAGAGTCAATTCTCGGGTCATGCTGAGAAATATGTCTTCAAGCTGAAGGTGTAACTGACTACGTACATTTAAAGTGCTTCAGGCACAGCCTGAGCTCTTAAGAGAGCTGTGTGTTTGACCAAGCGTGCCCCACGCCTGCCTCGTGCCTCCCCTACTGGTGCTCCTCTAAACAGGAGAGCTCAGAAACTTTGTGAGTGGGCTTGTTCTTGAAATACATACTTCAAAGTAGCAGGAAAAAGAATCCCTGGAAAGACTGAGTGTGAAGGAAATCTATTTATGTCTCATACGGTAAATATTTAAACTATGAGAAAAATTGTGCAAGCATGCTTCATATTTCTGACTGTGGACCAAGACAGCAAGAGTCAGAAGGGAAGCATCATTTCATTTGCATACTACTCTTGCTGACCATTCCCAGAAGCTTCACGTGCCAAAGCGTCACCCTAACTGATCTGCGAAAGGTATGTTTGCTTTTTAAACTCAAACCATCAGGGAACGCATGTTCCATGCAGTGCCCTCGAGGGATAAAAGTGACCAGTCTGCGTTGCGCCCATCCTGCGGGCTTCCAGTGCATAGGTGTTCCTTCATGGCAGTTGAAGCAGACGCTTTTCTTACACCAAACCGTAGCTTTCCAAGACACAGTTCGCAAGCCAACAGTCAGTTTGAACTTTATTTTTAGAAACAGGAAAAGTTACAAAATTATAAGAGATGTATAAAGCACTGAAAAAAACCCCGGACAATTTTAGTTTAGAAATAAGCATACTGTAGATGACCTTCAAGGTCATCTCCATATTAGAGTAGGAAGTTTTGCATGCATACAAATTGGAATCTAATCACTTAGTAGCCACTTGTTACATGTAATAACAGTAATCGATAAGACTGAAGAACAGACTCATGACTTTCCACTGCAACGCTAATTCCACTTAATTACAAAGTCTGAGTTAAGTCTGAGGAAGTTCTTGCCCTTAGCTCAGTTCTACTCCAAAATGGAGGTCAATCGCAGATGCTTTTAGAAAATTCAGAGGCTGAGAGCAATACACTTCTTTGCAGCTGAGAGGACCCTGCAATCATCATAAGTCAATCCGGAGGGCCATGTCTCTGGCATTCAAGGTAAGTCTTATTTTCAACAGCCCACAGTATCTCCTAGAAATTACTTCCAAGGGAAATCGCTGCATCCTCATGGTGGAAAAAAAACTTTCCCTAAACATAAAGGGCTGGAGATTCTGCTTTGAAATAGCAAGAGATGGGCTTAGCCTCTAGATGGGTAGAGAGCTGAAGCCTCTGCCCTTATTTCTTCAGGAACAAATGAAGGGGAAAAAGAAGGCTGACATAGTTATGAGCAGCAGAGACATCAGAAATGTAGGCGCTAAGCATGAAGCCTCTCTCAGGGACTGAATTTCTTGTTGAAGGGATGAGCTCGACCAGACTTGGCTGAAGCTGCAGGAGTAATGGACAGTAGGATGCTAACTGTACCTACGAACATGCCGAAATGGCTGGGGGCAGGGGGGCACACAGAACAAATTTTGATAGGAGTCCTTATGCTTTGAGTGCAGGAAGCTGCTCTTGCAAGAAGCCCTTCCCGGGACTGGTGGCCTTTTGCCAGGCATAGGGGGAATGTCTAACTTTACAAAGACTAAAGGTCTTTCTGGCTGCTCTTCAATATCAGTTTAAAAAAGAACAGCTTGGGAGACAACCAGATGTGAGTAGTGTCTCCCCTTCCCTCAGAAAATAAGTACATGCTGAAGCATTCCCACAGCCCTGATGCGTGCAGGCAGGACCTGCCAAGATCTGGGCAACCTGTTATTTTAGCAAAGATGCTGCTGTAACACGTCTGGCTAATTTGGTGCCACACTATTGGACCATTCTGTTTGGTTTTTTTTAAAGGTCTTAAATTGCTACCCCTAGTGTGTCTTTAATATTGCAGGAGCTGATTGCCTGGACACCAGAGAATGAAGCAGACTGAACAGATTTACCATTCAGCCAGACCTGGGTTATCTCCTTTCCTAACAGAAAAATACAAGAGGCTGACCCAAACAGTTTCCTTGAAGGTGGGATTCGCCCCATAACACAGGTAATATTATATGCATTAGCTCTAACACAAGGCAGAGAGCACTTAAAGCCCAAGGAGCTGTAAGGTCATATTTGATTAAAAAGAAAAGCTGTTCCTTAAGAAAAGACTCACTTCCGTACACCCTCTTTTTAAAGAAACAAACACAAACAGTCCTAAGACTACCAAAAAAAAGGGGGGTGTTTTAAAGGCAAAATTTTAAGTGAAGGAATTAAAGAGAAAAAGCAGACTTTGCTACAGTAAGTAGAGAGGTAGCCTAAGGCTGAACTACTGCTGTCACTGAGAACAGAAAAAAATGTCCTAACTTATAGCAGAAAGCAATCAAGAAGAACTGATGAGCATCCTGCCCTTCATGGAGTAATGTAAGTGCAGGGCACAGACCTGTGTGCCCCTGGACAGAAGCTGAGAGAGATTGGGCTTTTTGCATTCTGCAAGGTAGGGAAAAATTCTTTCTTCAGTATGTCAAAATAGGCAGCAAAACACTGGAAGAAACAAATACAATCTTCAGCATATATAAAATATCTATTCTGAGATGCATGCTTCCAATGTACACGGAGTCACAGATATCTTCTTTTACAAAAATAATGTAATTCAAAATGCTTCATAATTTCTCACCGCCCCCAAGCCATAGCCCATCAGTGTTTCTGGTTCAATTCCTGCATTCACAATCCAGAATCAATTACATGAGCTTTTGGTTTTAACACATTAACCAAATACTTGGCTCTGGCGCATGCTGCTGCAGATATGATATCCAGTGTAGAAAAGCCATCAACCTGTCTTAAAAATCATCGTTCTGCGTCATTCCTAATTCACAGCGTACGTTTGCTCCCATTCAATTCCAACATGAGAATAGCAGTACAGGAACCCAAGAACAGTCAGCGTCGCCCATGGCCAGCCTATAAATAGAAAGACAGACAATCCTAGTCATAATAATTAATGACTGCTTCAAGTAGAAATACTCTAGAGATGACCAACTTATGATGCTTCTAATTAATTTTATTAGCAATTCGGTCTCATAAGTAAGTAGAGCCAACCCACAAAATTTGAAAGGGGAAATGTGGACTGTTTGAGCTTCTGGGATGCCTGACCCCCTGCAGCCCCAGTCTTTCCCATTTTCAGGGAACTGCACCTCAAACAATGCTTGCTGAATTAAAGCGGTCTGCTTCAATCCTCTCCTTTGTGGTGAGCTTGTCTATTGAGTAGATCCCTGAAGGAACCCTGACGCTTTAAGCTGACTGTGGCACTTCCTAGGCACAAAGGGATGCGTAGCCCCAGTGCAGGTTATTAAAAGTCAGAACAAATCCAGTTACGTGTTCTGCCAAAAGAGTCTGGGGGAACCTCTGATGAAGGCTGTTTTGGATACCCTGCAGCTGGGTGTAAAATGGATGTATGTCTACAGCCCCGTAAAAAGCTAATGGGGTCAGAACACCATTGTGCTCGTGCAGAACAGACAGCCCCATTTGCCTGATGTGGTTTTGTTAGATTTTTTTTTTATTATTATTATTAACTAAAAAGACTTAACTCCCCTTATATATAAAACTTTTGCTAGGGAAATGACATGTTTTGTCATTATTTCAAATTCTTTTTAGTTAAAGTCACCATCTTTTCACTTGAACTTATTGCTGCTAAAACACTAAGGAGGAGGTCACAAGCCAAAAGGTCTATTGCTCTCCAGTGGAGTTGCAGGTCACTGGAAAAGTCCTTATCTGTAGACTTCTGAATCAGGTAAATGATTTTGCTTTTCTTGGTACCTTTCCTGGCACCTTTGTTCCCCTTCTCCATCCTCCTCCTGCCCTTAGAATTTATGAAATTTAGAGTTTATAGGCTGAAACGCCCGGCATTAGGCCCTAATGTTCTTCAGTGTCTTTCGTCTGTGGGAAGAGCGCAGGGAGGAAGGTGTTTTGAGGGGGTTTTGGGGGCTTTTTTGTTGCCGTTGTTGACATAAGAATTTTGGTTATAAGTAATGCCTGGCTTTCTGCAGGCTGTCCTCAAACTACCAGCAGATGCTTCTGAAGGAAGGGCTTCAGTACTCCCTCTTGGGGAAAACTCCAGTCTGAAGGAATCTGCTGGCAGAAATGAGATTCCCCATTGGCCTGAAGAAGGGATGGAAAGAAGATGTAACCTCTCCACAACACAATACTCCAGGAAGGACTCTTTCTCAAGGTATGTTTACAAGGTATTTTGCAGGCTGGTTTTGTCCAGGCATCAAGCCGATGCCACTCTGGAGACTGTTTAATTGTCCTAATGTCCAGTTAAACCTTAGCTTAATAGCCTGCCCTCAGCAGGGCTCACTGCCTCAGCTTCAGTCCTGCACCTCTGGGGACCGCACGTGCTGGGACCCTTCCTCTGTGCTCCGCGAGCACGGGCAGTGTAACACTTCACCCTCAAACAGGTTGAGAAACAGGGGTTTTTTTTTCCCCCCTCTTGTGAATAGCTGTGTGTTTGCTTCACAAATCTCTAATTCTTCTGGCCTTGTTTTGTGGTGAAATACAGTCTTGTAACCTGAATGATTTTCATGGAGACATTTACAAATATTAATCACTTGCCCTCACAACACCCTAAAGCAAAATTATACTTTTTATGTAATTATTTGTTTCACAAACCAAAATTGCTGTGGTATTTCCAAAGGGATTTGTAACAATAAAATAGTCCCTTTTTTTCTTCAGTGAAATTAGGGTACTGTAGATTGGGTTTCACCTTCAATAGCAAGCTAAAGCCCAGATGTGCTTTGTCTCTGATAAAATTGCATGCGAAAGTATGTCAATAAATATAACAAAAAATACCTCTTCTGGCAGCAGTATTGTGGTGGCTGCTTTACACAGACAGAGCCAGAAAGTGAAAAAATAACTGAGTGTAGAATTGCCTTTTTTTTTTTTTTTTTAAAGGGCACTTTTGGAAATCTTGCTAGATACATATTTTGCATTTTTAAATACTTTAAAGCTATAGCACACAGAAAATGTGCCAACAGTAGTCTTTAGTCTGACTTGCTTGTTATCCCCAGCCAATGTATAAGACGTTGTCGGAATACATAGGTATGCGCTGGACATCTTCCCTGGGTGCCCTGGATTTACGGTAAGATTCCTCTGTAGTGCCCATGACCTGGGTTTGCGGGGTCTCTTGCTACTATAATCAGGCTTGTGGTGATCCTTCTGGAATGTAGGGAGTCTCTCCTGTACAGTACCAGGTGTCAGGGGTTGTATTTGGCAGATTACCTCCTCCTGATCTAATTAAGATGGAAAGGAAGGGGGAAGACAAAGTGATCCACTGTGGGCGAGGGAGAAGGGGAATTTTTTAAATTTAATCTTGCTACAGCTATTCTAGGAGGAGCTGCACAGATCCTAAAGCATTTCTTGCTGCACAGGCAGGAGGTAGCCAGCAATGAGTGGGGGTAAAAGAGAGGTCACCTCCGCCCTGCTGGCCCTTTCTGGCCATACAGGAACTGTGTGCATGGCTGCCGGGTGTGGGGAAATGTATATGATGCTTCTGCTGTACGTAAGCGAAGCAAAGGCATCATGTTCTGCTCCTACACAATCCTGGATTAGCTCCAGTCCACTCAGGACAGATTTGCACAAGTGCATCCACACCTAAGGAGCAGCCCAAGGACAGCCTGAAGCAAGCAGGGGATCTTTAAAGTGTTTTCACTCTTCCCTTCCATTTTTGGATTGGGTATAAAATATACTTCTTGAAAAGGCTGAAGAATTTGGTCTCCAGAAGGTGATGTTTTAGGGAAGGACACATCAAGCAACGCTAATCCAGCAAAGATGCAATTTCAAATTCTGCCTGGCACGTAAATGACCTGCGTGTCATCCTTGTGTGTGACTTCTATAATCAAACAGTAGCATGAGGTGCTCTCTTGCAAGATGAGTTCACAGGAGCCTTTTCCTTGCCTAAACAGTGTCTCCTTGTAAACCCAAACAACCAAACAGTACCAATGGTCTCAGATTTGCAGTTCCATGGAAATCACTCTTTTTGCCCTGGGCCAGCAGCGTTAAGGTCTGTTCTTCCCTCAGGCCTTTTGGCTGACTCTCATTCTGTTCCTACCCTCAAACACAATTCAAGGGGTTCTTCCACCTGGGAGCTCCCCAACTTTACCTTATCACCCTAAAACACTGCATCCTCACCTACACTGTATCCTTCTCCAAACTCTGCTTGGAAGCATATCTGCCTGCATTCTAGATCAGTATCTCTCTACAAAATCATATACATAAAATGTACTCTTAAAAACAACGCTACTGGGGTCAAATCAAGTACTAAGCTGTTAGGAAATGACTGAGTTAAGTTTGCCTATTCAAAGACATGTCACATATCACCTTACACCTCAAAATTTCTTGAAGAAATTCATACACAATTTGCAAATCCAGCGATAGTTGTGAGCTTTACCTGCATAAATTTCTTTTAAAACAGCTGGACTTCCCTTTTAACAAAGGAACTCTCGGTAAGAAACATTAATGGAATCACGACCAAACTCTCTGCTTATACAGGTATGCTGCTCCACAAAAATCAAACACAAACTCCTTTGTGAAGAGGACTGTGAAGTCTGTGGCAAGGTAATAGCAGCACTTTAGCCATCTATGAAACAGCCTCTTCCCAAGGAAGTCCCCAGTTCCAACTAGGCAGGAGGCAATGGTCTGTCACGCACAGATGGTCTATTGGCCAATGGTCTTGCTGGTTTAAAACCACATTTTGATACATTATGTACTCAGTTTTCAGCATAATGTACTTGTTTTCCTTACACAGTACAACCAGAATTAACACAAACCAAGGCTGGGGTACTCAACAACTTTTTTGCCTCAGTCTTCACTGTCAGTCTGTCTTCCCACACCTCTCGAGTGGATGGATTTCTAGATGGGGACTGGGGGAGCAAGTCCCTCTCACTGTAAGAGAAGATCAGGTTTGTGACCAGCTGAGGAACCTGAACATGCAGAAGCCTATGGGACCTGATGAGATGCATCCCAGAGTCCTGAGGGAATTGGCTGATGTAGTTGCCAAGCTACTGTCCATGAGATCTGAAAAGTCACAGCAGTCACATGAAGCCCCCAGTGACCAGAAAAAGGAAAACATTGCACCCATTTCTAAAAAGGGTAGAAAGGAGGACCCTGGGAACTACTGACCTGTCAGCCTCACCTCCGTGCCTGGGAAGATCATGGAGCAGATCCTCCTAGAAGCCATGCTAAGGCACATGGAGGGCAGAGAGGTAATTCAAGACAGCCAGTGGGCCTTCACCAAGGGCAAGTCCTGCCTGACCTACCTAGTGGTCTTCTATGATGGAGTGGCTACACCAGTGGACAAGGTAAGACCCACAGATGTCATCTATCTGGACTTCTGTAAGGCCTTTGAAACGGTCCCCTCCCAACATCCTTCTCTCTAAATTGGAGAGTTATGAATTTGATGGGTGGACTGTTCAGTGGATGAGGAATTGGTTGGATGGTCGCATGGCTCAATGTCCAGATGGAGATAAATGACAAGTGGTGTCCATATTGGGACCACCAGTACTGTTTAATACCTTCATCACTGACATAGGCAGTGGGATCAAGTGCACCCTCAGCAAGTTTGTAGATGACACCAAGCTGTGTAGTGTGGCTGACACGCCTGAGGGACGGGATGCCATTCAGAGGGTTGAGAAGTGGTCCCATGTGAACCTCACGAGGTTCAACAAGGCCAAGTGCAAGGTCCTGCACCTGGGTTGAGGCAAAGCCCAGTATCAACACAGGCTGGGGCATGACGGGATTGAGAGCAGCCCTGCTGATGGATGAAAAGTTGCACGAGTCATCAATGTGCGCTTACAGCCCAGAAAGCCAACTGTAGCCTGAGCTGCACCAAAAGAAGTGTGGCCAGCAGGTAGAGAGAGAGGATTCTCCCCCTCTATCCCACTCTGGTGAGACCCTACCTGGAGTAC